AATCACTCACCAGTTTAATTAAGGTAAACCAGCTTGTCAGAAAGCCAGTCTTCTCTCTATTCTTCACCATTATCGACTTTTAATAGTTCACTGGATTAGTAATCACTTGTTTATGGCATTATCAGATACCTGGGAGAGAAAACCCCAGTATGTGCCCAAGAACTGCTTTAGGCCAACTCTTGGACTTGGGGAGAAATCTACTCCATCAGATGAAGTTTTCTAAAAAGCCACACAATGTGATTTAGACACAACTACAACCCAGAAGAGAAACAAACTGAGCTACAAGTATCTGGACAAGAGATTCAGACTTTGAAGTTGATTTTGTGGTTACTGGGATGGACACAGGCATGTTGGGCACTAAGGGAGGGAAAAGGAAGGGAGGGAGATCTCTCGCTGACTTGCGAAAACCACAGCTTTCACGTGGAGCAGGTAAAGAGTGGGGAGGCACACACAGAGCCACTCCACCAGGGACAACAATAAAGGAAGTCACAAGTCCTACAATTAGTCAATGTTTACTACAGGAACAACTATGGGGTCTGGAGCACAAGTCTGATGAGGAGTGGCTGAGGGAGCCTGGAGAAAAGGAGGCTGAGGGGAGACCTTCTCGCTCTCTCCAGGGGGGGTCCGTATCTTCTCCCAAGGAACAGGCCACAGGACGAGAAGAAACGGCCTCAGGTTGCACAAGGGGAGGTTTAGATTGGATATTAGGAACAATTTTTACACTGAAGGGATTATCAAGCATTGCAACAGGCTGCCCAAGGCAATGGTGGAGTCACCAGCCCTGGAGGGATTTAAAAGCCAGGCAGACATGGTGCTGAGGGACACGGGTCAGTGGTGGCTTTGTCAGCGTTGGGTTGATGGTTGGATTCAATGATCTGAAAGGTCCCTTCCAATCTAGACAATTCTATGATTCTATAACTCCTAAGTAATTAGGGTATAGATAAAGAAGGGAGCAAACCTCGTCCTCACTATTCAAGCATCCTCACCTTGGGAACACATCCCAGCAGGTACCAGTTCATTTACAGCTGTGGGATGTTGGTCCTCTCCCACCTACCACAGTCCTACCCAGCAAACTGCTGCCATCCCTGTCCCAACACTTCAGCCCTTGGGTGAACGTTCCCCCTCCACTTTGGCTCTACCCAGCTCCTGAGGCTGTTGTGAGCAGGGACAATACTGACAATTGTTATAAGCAGCGGTGACACACACCACAACCCCAAAGCAGGGGGAGGAGGGAGCAGGAGAACGGAGGAAAAAAGGGATTATGTATATTCCTAATTCTCCTTAGGCATACCTGCTGCCATCAGTGATGAACATTTGTTCTGGGAAGAGCTGCTACCAGTGGAACGCTTAGCATATGAACACTAACCTAATTCCTGTTGGAAATAAACCAATTTCCACTCTCTCCTTTACTAGAGGAGTATTTCAGCCTAATAATAAAATCTCCACTGTAGCATGTCAGACCAGCAGCTCTCTGGTAGCAGGCTGGAATTTTAAGTCTTAATGCTCCAATATCAGCTGTAATGAATTCTACATAAATATGACTTCTAAAAATAAAAAGCCCTTTTCTTCCCTTAAAACCATGTATGAAAGAGAGTTTAAAAGACACGGAAATGGGGTCTGGCCTCTCACTGCTGTCAGTAATGGGGATACTTCTGAAACAGTTTAACTACTCATACCCAGTGCAACCCAAATAAAAATATTTCACTTGCATTATTCAGCTCAGCTTTACATTACCATTCAACATGGGCCACCACAGTAAAAATTATAACTGCTTATAAAACTAGTGAAGAATATGAGAAAAGGCGAAGCGGGATGAACAGACAGAACAGAGTAAAATCCTGAATCGTCAAAAAATTCCACCAACCCCACATGGTGAAGTCCATTAAATGCCAAGACCTGGACAAGAAAATTGTTTTTCCACAGGAAAAACAGATTAATTAAAGAGTTTTGTATTATAATCTATAACAAAGCAGTACAGATACTTATTCTGCTATCATCAACTTGTGCACATTCATCAGATCTCGTTCATTTTTACTTGCTTAATTTCACGCTGAAATATACAGGAAGTTGGCTTCCAACGTCTGTCTTCATCTGAATTTTTCCCTTTAATAAATCACAAGCAGTCATCAAAATAAACTAATTATTATAAACTGTTATTTAGAAAAATGGAAGTGATACTAAAAAAAAAGTCTGGATCTAAATTTAAATACAAAGGAAAAAGTGCCCATTGGGAGGTACACATACACTTTGCCATAAGTATTATGCAGAGAGGTCAGGGTTTCTGGGCGACCTGAGCTCCGACACCCAGAGGTGCTGCTGCTGATGATTATTACTTCCTGAGGAGTGGTTCCCTTTCTCCATTTTATTTATCTCTGTACATCCACCCACGCACACAAAAACACCACAGAGTTACGACCAGTCTGAAAGAAACCCCGTGGGGTGTATTGTTGGTGCTCTATTGTAACGCCCGCTCTGAATGCAACGTTCAGCCCCGGCTTACCGCCCCGACAAAGGAAGGGAAGCACTTTATGAAACCAATTTAATTGGGAGGTGAGAGAGAACACACAGCCATTTTCTTTAGCCTTATCGCTGAATTGGCTCGGGCTCCAATCTCTGCCAAATCCCACTCGAGAGCAGACATTACCCAGGTCAGCGGAAGAGGTGCCGCGCGGCAGCCGGCGTCCCCACAATTAACCGGCGCACAACGAAGCAGTAATCTTTACAGATCATCTCTCCCAAGAAGCAGATTGGGGACAGGAGGAGAGGAGAAAGGTGGGAAGGAGAGAGAGGGAGGGAAGGATGAAAAAAAAAAAAAAAAAAAAAGGCAAGCAAGAAAGGAAAATGAATGTGTAGCTGCCTGGCGGCTCAGCAGATGTCTGTGCGTGATGTACGAGGCTGGGATAAGCTGTCGGAGCCGGCTGCCAAGGAGTGGTAAGTGATTAAAGCCTCCACCAGGCGAAGCACCATATTTAGAGTCCGTGGGGTTTGGGAAGTTGCACCCATTCCTTGCTGTGCTGCCAGATGTTGCCAGCTGGGGCTGCTCCCGGCGGCCGGGGGCGGGAGGCGGCAGTTGGCGCAGCCAGGGATGCAATCTGGACCGCTGCCGGAGGTGCCGTGCATTCAACCCCTGTCACCCATCCTTCACCTCCACCCAAGGCTGAAACAACTCCAATTTGCTGCCACTTTCCCTCTTGGGAAATGGCCAAGATACAGTTGTGCCTGGCAGACCCATTTGTTTTACTCAGGTGATTCTCTTCCCTCAATGACCTCTATTAGTTTAAGTTTTAATTTAGATTAACCCCAGCACCCCAATTAACCAGTGAGGGGAAAAGCTAAGCTGTGACTAGTCATATTTCTGAAATCACGATTTATCGAAGTTAAAGTTATTAGAAGGAAGGACGGGCCATTCATCTATTGCTATTTTTCTTTTAAAAATTTAACATTTCACGGCCAATGAGCACTTCCTCTGCACAGGTCCAGGGATTGTCAACCACAGCTATTTTGCCTCGACCACTTCATTATTTTGCTGTAGTGACTTCATTTGTTCTGCGTGCTTAGGGTTCACCTGGTCCCTAAACCTGGGCTTTGGGTCCACTTGGACCACAAATTCCCCCTCAGCACTACCCCACTGCGTCACAGATTTGGTCTCTTTAACCAGCACCACCAAGGAGATGGGCACCCTCCAAATTCCATTTTCGAGCCTCCACAGATGAACCTGGCGCATTTGCCTGCCCAAGAGATGCTGCTCAAGCCACAGCAATACAGCAGAGATGCTCTTACAACAAATACACACCCTGGAGAGGACCTAACTCGGCATACACTCCTGGCTCTGAGGCAGGATGCCTTTAGTAGGTCCCTCACAAACATTAAATATTCAAATTGTCCTAATTCTGCACTAGGTGAGGTCTACTGCAAAGCTTCTCATGGGCACCTAGAGCAGGAGGGTTGGAAGTGTGTGGAAAACCTTCTTGGAGAGGAAAAATATAAGGCAGTATATAAGTTCTGTGTATTTCCTATCCGTAAAACATAGGTAAGAATTAGCAATTTAATACATCTTTTTATTCATCTTTAGTCCTGGCCCTGTGCATGAAATCCCAAATTTTGAAAGTATTCAAATGCTTCTGGTTAAATCAGTCACCAGACCACAGACACATGGCAACAGCTCTGTTCCACTGCCCTAATGCTTTACCAGCCACTCTAATAACTATTCAGATCAGAAACCTCTGCTTTTCTAATGATCTAATGATATTGTTTAGTCCTGAAGCTAAAGCTCTCTGTGGATCATCAAAATAAAACTAGTTTTTTGTGCATTGGGGACGGACTTAACAGTGAATCATTCTCCTCAATACATGGCAATTTCAGTATTTCATAAAACTGGCACTACCATTTATTAAATAAATTACAAACACAAGGTTTCCCTAAGCTGCAGCCTCCACGCATTGGTTGCAGATTCCTTGTTTCTAAGAATTTTGCAAGTAAAAGGAATAACTGGCCTAAATCCAAGCTGGCACAACTCCAGGAAAAGTGCTAGAGAAGCCCTGCAGCTTTTTCATTCAGGAGGTAGATGAGATGATTTAGGTTGAGATGAGAGTAACTCGGGTGCTTTTGAAGATCTACTAGAATCGTTTTTCATAATGGGACTCTACCCAGAGAGAAAAGTCACCTCTAGAGAATTCAGTGATTCTTCTCTTGTGTAGCAAAGTTCCCCAGTGAGAACAACAGGCACAGACCTTGTCCCCAAGCCCCGACTCACTCGAGTAGAGCAGTGCCACTAATGGCAGCAAGTTGACATCCACAAAGCAAGTCCGAGCTCCCACAGCCCTGTCTCCAGAGTTGACAGCAAAGTTCTCTGAGGCAGCTACAGAGATTCTGGGTGTTAAAAGAGAGAACTGAGTTTCACTGGGCAGAGAAATTTAGAGCATGGACCCGACCGCGTTAGCTCTGGAAGTATAAAAACCCAACTGGAGCCGTAATTCCAACACAGATTTACCATCACCTACCTGGTGATAAAAGTCATCATCATCGAATATCTCCTCATCTATGTCCTTCAGGTGCCTGTTGGAATCTGCCTGCGGGAGGACCTCCTGGAAGCAGAAAGGAAATATTGACAGCTCATACGTGTGTGTTTCTGTCCCTAACTCTGACCACATCACGTGCAGCCCCTTCTACACACACTCAAAGATATGAGGGAACAGAGAAAAGCTCCCAACACAACAAGCTTTTAAAGACTAGGAATACATTTAAAAGCAAGGCAGAAACGCTGCCAATGCCAAAATAGATTTATGATACCTTTACTGGGAAATAAATAGGATTGTGCACAGTCTTTCTGGCAAAATACTACAGATATTTTTAATGTAATGGCAAAAATATATCTTGCAAGTGCAGTAATTCTACATGATCTCTCAGAATTGAGTATTTATTCATTCTTAAATACTAAATTAATAACAGACTTACTACTAACATATTCTGTAGGTTATATGCAGTATGATTTTAGAAGTGACTTTCTGGGTTAAAGATTCTAAACTCCAGAGTAAAACCAAAGTTTTGTAGCTGCCACCTCAAAAAGCAGATTTAATGAGCATCAGGAGGGGCACAATCACAGACCAAACCCTGTTTTCCCCCATCAAGATCTGGCACAGGAGAGAGTGCAAACACCATAAAACTAGAATTGAAAGGTCTGCATCTTCTTCTTAGCCATTCCATTCCAGGAATCAACACTCAGATACCTCCTTCATAAATCTCTTACAAACAAGAACGTTGCCTGCTAAAGGCTCGAGATAATTGTTTTGCTGAGAGTTTCGCTGCTTCTACAGGATGAGTTACATAAACAAAATATTCTTACCGAATTTTCGGGCAAAGATTCAGGGGCCGGATGAGGTTCCTGTTCCTGCTTCCCCAGCACCGTATACACTGATCGCTTGGTCTGTGTCCGCCGTAGTAATCTCTCTTTGTCCATCAGAATATGATCAATCTGAGTCAAGATTGAACGCTCAAAGGCACCGAAACCCTGCAACAACATTAACTAGTGTCAGATAATGCAGAAAGCTTTTCCTCAAGGCAGCAATGTTCCTCTATCTTTCCATGTCAGTGGATAAGCAGACAGCATTCCAAGAGGAGGGGGTCTGGGTTTCTTTGCAGTGATTTTTGCTAGGAATTTTTATTTATTTCACCCTCTCTCTCCCTTCCCAACCTGAGGCAACCTGACGCCCGGTTTAATAAAATGCCTTTGCTGTCCTGGTTCAGATGAACTTCTCAATGATTAATACTAACTCACAGATGTTAGGAAACCCTGGATCTTTGGCTGAAATTATTACCCATTGTATTAAAGAGTACACTTCACGGAGGAGGAGAGCCACAAAGCCCCTAGTTGTGTTATAAAACACAGCAGCTTGTTGATCACCAATAGTGGCATCTTCATACAGCTTTCTTGCTGCTGCAGACTGGCTTTGATGAGGTCTCTGGTTGGGAGAATAACAGTATTACCCAAGAGTTTTTCACCAAACTGGGGAAATCATTTGCCTCCAAAAAATTTTTTCCTGCCCATTTGCTCCAAACAAAAGAGAACAGCTTTATGCCTTTCTTGTCCTAACTCGGAACATCCATGATACAAAATTGTCAAATCAACTTGTTGTGCAAATCTCTGCTAAAAAATAACCACCAAAGCAAGCACATGGAAACGAAGACTTGCCTTTCCCATTTTGCCAGACGCCAGCTTTGTCTTCTCATGCCACTTCTGCAGGACGTTGTTCCGGTAGGTCCTGAAGTCCGCGTATCGCTTGGCGATGAACTCCGGGTAGTCCTCCATCTGTAGCTTTCGTTTGGGGAGGCTCCTCCTCTTCTCCTGAGCCTTATCCACTTGCTCTTCATCACTACTGCTAGGGATTTCTTCGTCACTAGAACAAAAATATGCAGATTAAATACCCTACACCTCTCTAAGGCAATGTGTGAATTCTTAATGGCCCCTCCACTATTTTTTGCAGGGGTTATTATTCCCCACTCGTGCTTTTTCCACACCATGGTGATGTTTATGGCAAAAGACCCATGGTTTAGCCCCTCCTCTGTTATCAGAAAGATTAAAAAACAGACTTCACAGTCTGGCAGAAGGAACTCAAAGGGTCATTTGTCCAGAGTGTCTGTCACCCGGGTACAGCAGCAGCTGAGAGAACAGCAGGGAGTGAGTACGGTCAGGAAAGCTGTGCACTGCCCTGTTTGTTGAAGAATTGGAGACCAAAGGGTTCAGAAAGGTCTTATTTTGTATTTACCTCTCAGCTTTTGATTGTTTTCCATCTACCAGATGCCTCGTGCCTGGGTATTGATAAAGCAGCTCATCCTGAAGTTCCACTAATACTTTCAGCAATGCCTCCAGGGCTTTACAACCTGCAGAACAAGAGACAAAAGTGACAATTTCCCCCTGATCTTTGCTTCTGGTGGAGACACAGCTTTGTGGTGCTTAGTTTCTCATCTTGAATCTGAATTTCTGCCACAGCTGCTGCGTGTCCCACTAACAGTTTTTCTCTAATCAGTTAGAGATGTGGGTTTATCTTCAAACTGATTTATAGCTGTTGATGTCAAACATCAGCACGCTGGGAAGGAAGGTTTCTTTCCCCAAAAGGGAGGAAAGGAGGCAGGACTGGCTCCTAAACATCTGCCTGGCTGCACATGGGGAGTACTGATCTAGGGTTTCACCAACAAACATTCAGGCAGAGCCCAAAGGATTAACATACTGAAGAAGCAAATAGTGTGTGCACAAGTGTCTGATGACACACACATGACAACAACCTTTTTTGCTGACTAACTCACTTCCCTCCCCTGTTAAATTCTGCAGCAGGGCCCAGCGTCAGTTTGATAATACAAAGCAACACATAGGTAAATGTATATACGTACACCCCATCTAAACTTGACCTCTGACTTTTCTTCCTTGTACATAGTGTGTATGTTATAGGGAGCAGATGGAGGGAGGGCAAGAAGAAAAACCAGCTCCTGCAGGGCTGTGACTACTGCTGGGTTCTGTGCCGCTGTGCTCACCACGCAGGAGGTAACAGAAATTAGATTGTAAGTAAAATTAAATGTAGCGAGATCTGATCTATTGGGGGGAAACTTAAACAATGCCCTGGCAAGTTTAATGAGAGGATGCTGATCAGAAAAGCAGAACTTCAGGCCCAGAGATCCATAGAAAAGAGATAACGTGAAGAAAAGATTGGAGTAGAGAGGCGGACAAAATGCTCAATGCATGGTCTGGAGGTTTGTTTTAGGGGGATGAGCAGTTGCCTTCCAGGGTATTTGCAGATGCAAATCCTGTAGATCTGATGCCCTGTATCCAAAGACTTCCATAGCTGACTAAAAACAATCACTGTTCTAATGATCTTATGTTCTCCAAGGACGCACAGTCGCAGCTGACTGCAGAAGGGTTAACAGCACACCGCTGCAGCATCTGGTCTTTCAAAATACTTCTTTTGTGGCAACCAACAAGCCTCCCCGCAGAACACTCCGATATAAAACAAGTGTTTGTCTAGGCCTACACAAACTCTCCCTTTGTACATTACTACACATCCATCACAGGGTCAGCTCTTACAGGTAAAACACTTAGTACGCTTCTATCAAAAAAAAAAACCTAAACTGAACTTTACACAGATTAATTTATATTTAGCTGACACGGGTGTATTGCCTTCTACTTTTACAAAGAGGCACCACCGAAAGGGGAAATGCTTGGAGGAACGCAACACACCACTTCAGGATCTGTTTTCTTGCAGGATATGTTCAAGTAGGCTTGGCTTCCCTCCCCATGCACCCACAAGCATCCTTGAGGGCAGCAGGAACCCCGAGAATGTGGATTTGTCTGGAGGGCAGGAGGAGCACTGCCGTGGTGGGAAGTTCTCCAGAGCTTCCCCTGGTACCTCCTCTGCCAGTTCCTCCACTAATGTAAAGTCAGTGGGGCTGTCTTCCCTAAATCCCAAACCCATTTCTTTTTTTGAGTTACCATAACAGAAAGGAGAGCAGTTTTCACTACTTGTTTCTTAGCTATTTTTCTTTTTTTTTTTTTTAAATGGAGGACACAGAGATCATGGGTAGAGCAAACAGCAAATCTTCATCAGCCAGATAGAGACAGTGTGAGCAGAAATCAGCCCAGACATTCAGAGGTCTCAATCTCCCTCACGTTACCACTGTGATATTGCTCAGTTGTCACCATCTTCAGATAAATTACGGCCTGACCTCAGTAACAGGAATGTCAAGGAGAAGATGCTTTAAGATTTCTGTTGCGGATCAGCTGTTGGACTTACCCTCCCCCGGCCCACGGTTCATTATAGACACATTCTGACAACTCTTCTATATAAACCTATTAACGGATTAGATTTGCTGTACTTGTAAAACAGTCGTGTGTTAGCATCAAAACAATTCCGAGAGACAAACAGACAAAAGCCCTTAAAAACGCATTTGTTGTGTGTGTCTGCAGCTAAAGCATCACTTGCAAAAGGAAAAAGTGCCTCCACCCTAGCCCGAGCACACAGCTTAGAGCAGCAAAATCCTTCCCACTGCCTGCAACACAGCGAAATGTCCCCAGAGCTTCCCAAACTGTTTATTTTCTACCCGCTGCCTACCCTCCAGCAGCCGTGCTAATGCACCCCAGGCGGCTTTGATCCTGTCAATTATAACTGGAGTAGCACTCCAGCTCTTCTGGGGTATATCAGGGCCACGGCGAGCAGGCAAGGAATAAAGACAGGCTCCAGCTCCCCCAGGCTATGAGATATGGACCCCAACAGAAGTGGGGATGGGGAGCAATTTTATTTGGAGTGAAGGGGATGGAGAGGGCAGGGAAGACAATGACCGTGCGTCTAACCAGGTGGGAGGGCTAATTATTCCAGACAGTGGTTTCATCATGAGCCTCTTACAGCTGGGTAATTTCCGTGCTTTCAGTTCTTGTGTATTTAATAGCATTATTGGATGGCATTCTCATTGTTACTGGTGGGTGCTTAAGTGTGCTGTAAACTCAACTTCAGAAGGCAAGAGTCACCCTCCCCTGCCCTCCTCCCATCCAGCCCTGCCCTATCCATTTCACGTTTAATTCCAGAAGGGACTGTTTTCTTCCCAATCTCCTTTTCCTCTTCATCTTCTCATCCCTCTAATGCCTTCGTCTGCCTTTACACTGTTTGCTGTGGGGAAAAAACTGACTCCACTTGTGAATGAAAGCAGCATAAACCAAAACTGTTTCATAGATGCAAACTATGTCATTTTGAAGGAAAGCTGGATGCTGACCCTCCTGCTCTCCTATCCCCCACAGAACGTTTTTTCGGGTGGTTTTTTAATGTTGCTCTGTGTCTGAAACAGACAATTAAACAAAAAAAAAGAGTCACTAACATGGAGCTTTGAAGCATGCCAGTACCACAAGGCAACCAACTAGCAGCTTTCACATGTGATAACCATCAGGTCCTGCTCTGTTCACAGACCAAAGCAATACCTCTAAGGGCAGAGGCAATGCCAGCCCCTGGGCCTCCCATGGCCACCAGCTGCATGAGGTCCTAGGAGGTCCTTGATGATTTTTGGTTCCTAAAGCTTTTGGGTCTGTGCCTCTCCCACCCCTTCTCTCCTGCTCCCTGCTGGGAGCTTTGCTGCATCTCTCTTACAATCTGCACTGCAACATACTGGGATAAATATTCTAACTTATAGCAACATCAGTGTCACAACTGAAACCTTAAACACCGGGCCATACACAATTAGTGAGAAAAACCTCAAAACTATTTCCTGTTCCAGGAGTTACTTCTGCACGTCCAACCTGTGTTATTTGAGGACAGGTGGCTCAGCCGTGCCTTAAAAACAAAAAGAAGCTGGATCCCCTTATGGCATTTCAGTATGAGCAACTGAAATTCCCCCAAACAACAACTCATACTCTGTGTGTAGGAGAGGCCAAGTAACCCCAGGGCAAGAGGCAATCCCTCCTTCCATCAAACCTTTTCAAACCTGCCCTTTGGGAAAGAAAAAAAGATGCTGAGTGGGATCCATCTGCAGCTGCTCCAAGAACACAGCAAACGTGGTTGGAATATAACTTCCAGCTTAAATGGGACTCGGAGTGTCTGTGGTGAGGCACTAACTTGTAAGAGTCACTTTTAAGAGTCCACGGGAGCCCCTTCATTTTGTGTACAGGAGTGAAAAAGTTGTTCCAGATCCAGCAGACAGCATATCAATCCACCAAGAAATCTGGGAGCCAGGATCAGTAAATCAAAGTGTGCCTTTCTGTTAATACTCTCTCATACATTCTCATTTTATACATCCCTTCACCCAGTCAGAAAGTAGCCCTGGAGTATTTAGCTCCGTTCAGGGATAGCACTGCCATGTATCAAAGTGTCAGGAGACCCACCAGAGATGAAATCTGTCCTACTGCTCTCAAACCACAAAAATCAATTTTGTCAATGCCAGCGGTTATGGACAAACTGGCTGCGCTGCTGGCGTCCCCCCCCCTCTGCACAGGGTGGCTCCTGGCTGCAGGACACCGACCCCACGACGTGGTCCCACCACCAGAGGAGAAGGTCTCTGCAGAGGGTGGCTTTGCCCGACTCACAGGCACGATGGCTTCTGTGCTCGTCCATCGCTCCCAGTTCAGCATTTCCAGAGGCGGGCAGCTTCCCGCCTAGAAAAATATCTGTGCTCTTTTTCATGACCTCTAAAAATGGGGTCTCATTTCATCTTCCCAAGCAGCTGCGGAGAGCGGCAGCTGGTGGGAGCAGCGGGGAGCAGCCTCACGCAGGGATGGATGCTTGAAGGGAAATGGAAAAAAGCTGGTGCCTCAAGGCCAGGCTTTCAGAGGTATTCACAGAGAGAGGACCACGGGGACTCCCAAAAAATGCTCCTACCCATCCAGCAGGTCCAGAGTACAACAGTCAGGGACATTGTCCTTAAAAATTGGGCAAAACTCACAGGATTTTCACTCCATGGCTGTACATTTCTGATATCTTACAGGGTGTGATGGGGCACTGCTGTGCCCTACAGAACAGTGCCTGTTTTCACGTGTGCAACCACAAACCAGAGCATCCTGACCGTGAGGGACCAGCACGAAAACACGGGCACACACAGGGGAGGGCAGAAATTCAGAGCCCGTGCCAAAGCTGGAAATTAACTACTTTTTCCCCTCAATTAAATCGGAGGATCTGGCATCACAGGAATAACGTCGTCATGCAAGCTTTTAATTTTTCCGTGTACCTCCACGGGGCTGTCTGAGGTGCTCACACAGAAAAGCTGGAAGGATGCTGGCATCTGAACCACAGCCTGGGGAGCAGGAGCTGAGCTGCCAAATATTGGGAGAGTCCCCCCCCCCATCACCGTGTCACCACGGCACCGAACCGGCACGGTGCCCAGCGCTCTGGTCACCTTATGCAAATAATAATTAA